CTTATTCCTCTCGTGTCTCCTTCTTTTTTGCAAAAGACTCGCAGCTCCTTGGCTTTTACCAATTAAAAAAGTCACTTGTCTTGCCGGCACACCACCACAACACCCGCTGCGTCGCCACCCCCGCTCTGATGCAATTTCGTGCTGCATTCAATGCAGTTGGAAAATGGAGATTCACACTTGTAAATGTCAAATTGGCCATTTAAAAACTGGGGTGGCAACAGGGGTGGCAAGCCTGTCTTTTAGGGTGGCATTTGCCACCTCATGCCACCCCGGTAGATCCGCCCCTGCATATAATCAAAAAAGGGTGCAGGGCTTTTTTAGTTTGTTGCTTGTTATCCATTAAGTCACCTGAACAGAAAGTTTGAATCAGTATCTCTGGTATTGAAAATAAAGCGGGCTAAGTCGGGGTTGGGCTCAGTCTAAACTGCTCGGTGCGCTTACAAACTCTAAATAACATGAAGATTTTAATGTACGGTCTTTGCTTAAGTGTACCAGAATTTCTAGCAAGCTGTACCCTGCAGACGGTGATGCTGCCTCCAGAGAAAAGGTGGATGTTGTGCAGCACTTTAGTGACAATCAGAAATATCAATCATTTTAAATAACTTAGCCACACTAAACACTTGTGAATACAGCTTTAGTGATCTACTACTGCTCCTTTTCTGTGTTTATAGCATTTGAAACTTATTTCAATACTGTTTTATCTACTCCATAAAACCTCATGTTTCGTCATGTTTTCGCTCAGGCATTTATACGAATTTCTTTTTTTTTTTTTTTTTTATATATATTTGAACCTTTCGAGATGTTTGAATTCACATCTAAAATCCCAAATGTTCAGCCGTGGACAGATGAGACTGTGTGATTGTCTGCGCTGTAGAGTTTAAAATTTAAAATCCTAATATGTAGCAGCACAGTGGGGGTGTTGATGTCTTAAATCAGAGTGGTGTGCAGCGTGGGGGCACGTCTGGTTCACAGAGAACATTACCATAAGTACCATTACTGTCAGAGAGCATGAGATCAGTATCAAAGAAATATACTACTGCTGCTGCTGCTGCTGCTGCAGCGTCGGCTCTGACTTACAGCTCCCCAGCTCCAACACTGACACCTCCAACACCAACAACACCCACAATGCACTTTGCTGCAGAAGTGATGTGCTGATATGTTCAGATCTGAGACACATCATCAGGTCAGACGTAACCAAAAGGAAGGAATGATGAGATTTATTGCTGGATCAGCCTCACAGTGTGTTATCAAAACTTTACTCCATTAATCTGCTTATTTTTCAAAGACATGTTTTTTCTGGATGCTTTTCAGCAAATACTCAGACTACAGAATGTGCAGAGCACGTTATTGTAGGTGGTGTTTCTGGACATAATGGCACCGGGATGAAGTTCAGGTTAACAGGCACCAGATGTTTGAAAAGAGTTGTCTAAAATAGCTCCATCATTTAAAAAGAAAAAAAAAAAAAAAACCGTCTATTCCAGAAACCAGAACGTTCCAGAAAGGTCCTCAGGTGCAGGAGCTTTACACAGGACGTTGTGAGGAAAACAAAGTGGCAAATTGTGAAGTCAGAGCAGCAGCCCAGAACAGCATAGTCAGCACATTTACATGTACAATTAAGTCAAGCTGTGGTTATAACTAGTTTTGGTGATTTAACTGGAATACTGTCCTGTCCCAGTCTGAAATCACCAGACAAGAAACAACTTACTGATAAAAGTAGGTCTACCGACATGACAAAGGTTATGATATGTGCCCTTTTAGCATATTATCATTAGGCCATCTCCAGGTTATAATGTCACTCACCTAAACAATCTATAAACACAGAGAGAGGCCAAAAGGGTTTTATGTCCACCGATGAAAACACTTTACAGTTGTGTACCTTTGGTATGTACTGTATCTGCAGTTTCTGACTGTGAACAAGAAGAAGTGGGGACCCAGGATAGAGCCCTGAGGGACTCCAGTTTAGAGATTTTAACAACCAATAATAACCACTGCTAAAACCTTGACAAAGTTTATTCTTGTTTGTCTGACCTTTGTTTTGAACAGTATTGGGGGAACTTTTGGCCTGAACATGCACCCCATATACAGAGTCCACAGTCTTCATTGCACTGTTAACAGGGTCTATGTCCTATCCTGATGTGATTTGGTGTGTGTCATTCCTTCTCCTTCTTCCTGTGTTTCCTCTCTTTTGAGCTGTAAAAGCATGGCACTGTCAACAAGGCTAGTCGACTGATGAATTAGCCATGATCAGAATCAGAGGTGCTTTTCTTTACCTGCAGGGGAAATTTATAAACCTTTGTTTTTATTGAGTGATCTAATCTAAAGCATCACGCTGTTAGGGTCAAATTTTAATTGTTTTCTGTGGTTTGATTTTAGCTGTTTTTTTTTTTCTTTGTTTCTTTTTCTGTAAAATCATCTGAAAAACGTTTTATATCTTTATTCTCTGGATTGAACCTCAAACAGAGGAGTTTTTCGCTCCAGTGCTCCCTGGTTCACAGACTGGTTTTCAGCCAGTATTTCAGCTCTGATGGACTTCCCCTCAGCGACTGCTAAAGGTCAGCTTTTGACATTATAAAATTTAATTGTGTCCTCCAGCGTCCGAGTAATTACAGCACTTGAGCGAGAATGATCCTTGGTTGTACGAGTCGAGAGAGCACTGTGTTATTTGGATTGTTGTTGAGGAATCCCTGATAAGGATATAATGGCTCTGCATGGTGATCATTTACAGTTTTCTGATTCGGTAATTATGAGAGCTTGTTCTTGTTTTCTCTGAACATAGAATAAAGATTGAGTTTGTTCCTGGCTTATTCCTAGATTGTCTCCTGAATGTTTCCATTTTGATGAGGATTCACTGTCATAGAGGACTTAAATGGGGGCTGTTATAGAGAGGAAGGTAGATGAGCAGACTGGTAGAGATGAAGAAAAGAAGAGGAAAGGAGTGAAAAAGATGGTGTGAACATTTGGGTAAACCAGTTATTACACAGTTTTATGGTATTTATAAAGGATGATTAATTCTGTGTATCATCATGACTTTAATTCAGACCAATTAAGTAATCAAACATTGTACTGACACAGCTGAGATCCACATAAAGGCTACAATGTTAATGAGTTAGACTATATCCAGTGAACCCAAAAAGTAAGGTAGCTTAGAAGGTAAACTGCAGAGCCACTTCAGAGTATGCAAAAACAATTTCCCGGAGGCGAAAAACACTAAATAAAAAGAGACTCCGAAAATCGGAAAAATTCAGTGAAATGCAAAAAGGCTTAAAAGGCTTAATCCCTGAAATCATAAATTCAATGTAAAATATTTCATGAAACTCAGAAAATATTTGGAAAAACTAAGCCCCCCCCATCTATTTCGCAAAAATTTTACAAAACGCCAAAAAATCTGAGATTTTTAAAATTACCTATTACACAGAAAACATATTATAATACTTAATAAAGCTTGAACAAAATGGGGGAACAAATATGGAATACAAAATCATTTTATGACATGCAAAAAGTTTCATGAACCTAAAGATTTTTTTCCAAGATCAAAAATATTTAATGAAGCTACAAAAAGTGAAAATTTTTTTTTACAACATGTAAAAGTATTTTGCACAATGCCAAAGCATATTAGCAAAAATAAATTATTTGTTAAGCTTATGCAGATTTGACATAGTGCAAAAGAAGTTTTTCATAAAACAGAAAAATGTCTTCAGTATCACAAAAACGACAATGTTACTAAATAAAAAAAAAGGTTTCTTTAAATATTATTTCTGTATTTGATGAAATGGTGAAACTTGGTGAATTTTTTTTTTTTTTTTTTTTTTGCGGAAGCAAAATGTTTATGCAGTTTACCTCCAGGGCTACCGTATGATATTTTTGCATTGACACACATGGTCTTCACAATGAAAGGCTGTTTGTTTTCAATGGAGAAAGAAATCGAGGGAAAATTGGGAGGTAAAGATTGAGAAAGGGAGCTGCAGTAGGAGGAGTAGCAGGTACAAAGCTGCAGATATGTAGATGTAGATAAATAGATATGATCTGACCTGGATGACATATGTAGGTCAAAGGTGGAGGAGGTGGTGACGGAGTGGGAGAGGTTAAGAAGTGCACAGATAAAGTGGATGCAGATGTGGAGCAGAATGAGGTGTGATGAAGGCGGGAGGTGAGTGTAAGGCAGAGTGACAGGGATGAGAGAGAAAGGGGGTGAGAGAGAGAGGGTGAGAGAGAGGGGGGAGTCTGGTCAGCCTCTAATAACCCCCCCTCTATAACCCCACTCTGCCCTTCCATGTTAACATACTGTGAACTGAGCACAAGTGACAAAATCAATCCATCACGCCATCCGCCGCCTGGCTCACAGAGGGACAGAGCGCCTAACAGAAATTGATGACATCCCCACTCGAGTTTTACACCGTTTGGTCGGCGGCGGCGATTGAAACAGACAGAGATTTATCGTCCGGCCGGGGAGAGCGGCTATCCTTGATTGCCTCCTTTTTTTCTCCCTTCTTTCTCCGCCAAGAAGCCCCTTTTTTGCATATTTATTTCCAAGCTCATCAAGAGTGAGCGGACGCATCACAGTGACAATCTTATTTCACCTTTGGGGGAGGAGAAGGGGGAGGAGGAGTCAGGTGGGAGGTTACATCCTTTACATGAAAGCAGATCTCAGTCTGATGTTTTATTTCAGAGTGCAGATTTAATGAGACAGAGCTGGTGTGATCAGGTCTGAACTCAGGATGAATTATTCAAACACAGGTCACTCCTCGTCTCCTTAAAGACCTCCTGACACCTTCAGAGAGCCGCTGTGTCCACACCGTGTTCAATTGAGATCAAACCATCAGCCCCGACACTTCACTTTGAGATGGTTCAGAGAAATATGAGAGGACCTTTTATGGTCCTGCTCTGACAGAAACTAAAGACACGCTCAGAGGAACAAAAAAAAGACCCTTTTTCTTACTAACTAGCCTCTCCCAGGAGGAACATTCACCCTCACATTTATCTCACATTTATTTTACACAATCATGCATGGACTGGACTCCATGGCTGCAGCAAGGGGCGAGAAAGAACTTCAGTGTGGTGAGATCCTGGATGATCAGGTCAGTAGGACTGTCTCAAGGTCCATGTTTCAAATCATGTTGCACTCATGATGTCTGGGCATGAAAATACCTACAAGCTTGGGGCAGTTGGCTCCTGTTTTGCATCTGATCATGGAGATGAGCTGTCACCATCTCCTCTTTGGGCTGCACAGAGCTGTGCTGTGCACTCACATCCTGACAGAACTCACTACTGTCCACATACAGATGATAATCAAGCAGGGAGGACCCTTTATCCACAGATGTGCCACAGATTTCACAGGTTAAGTTCAGTATATATCCTAAAAGGAGCAAACTAAGATGCAAAATTTCTCCATCGTGCACAATAACACAGCCTGTGATGTGTGGGCTTTACTGTAACAGAAACAGACTAATTCAACCTCAGTTTCCTGCTAATAGTAGGACTTTAACAAGCTTAAAGCAATTTAATTTGAATACATATCTGGAAGATAAATGTTGAGGTCATCTCAAGAAGAATTGTTAATATCATTTATAGATAAAGTTGTGCAAGTCTGTGCAGATCCTAAAAATGTCACTCTTGGGGCTCTATTTTCGTGTACGCCAGTGAGGCGACGGAGGGCGGCGAGCCCCGCGCAGTTGTATTTTCGTCTGGCGCAGCCCGGCGTACAGCCAGTTTGGTATTTTCGTGGACTGAGGCGCACGGAGGCGAACCGAGATCCGCCAAGCTGGGCGTGGTGGCGTGGCAGGCGGAGGTGTCGACAGAATCAGCGGGCGCAGTGACATTTTCGTGCTCGCCACCGGCGTGTAAAGTGCGCTGAAAGCTTGCCGATTCAAACCTGGTCAGCTTTCAGGGCAAGCGGAGCGCAGCTGGTCTAGTGGTATTTTGGTAAACTGGCGGCTTATTGGCATACGTCACTGATGCCTCATAGGCAGGTTTCCACAGTGTCAGGTACATTTCAGTGCAATAAATAGTCATCAACAACTATTAATCTGAGTCAGCACATACATTTAGATCAGGCATGTCCAAACTTTTCCACAAAGGGCCGGTGTGGCTGCAGGTTTTTCTTCCAACCAAGCAGCAGCACACCAGACTTGATTCATTTCATCAGCTGATCTCAGTCTTCAGACAGCTGATTGGTCAGACTGCATGCTCTTGATTGGTTGGAAGAAAAACCTGCAGCCACACCGGCCCTTTGTGGAATAGTTTGGACATGCCTGATTTAGATCTATATAGATATATTCTGATCTATATCTGATCTGATGAGCGCGTTTGGCACGCGTTTGGACACACAACCTGACCGAATCAACACAGCTGAAACCGCATCAAATTAAATGAAATATCTAGTAAATAGACACACATGATGAAGTTAACAAGATATGTAATTCGTCTCCCTCCTTTTCTTTCTTCCTCTTCCTCTTATTTCTCGCGCAGCTCGACCTGGACACGTCTCCGTGTCCTCTCTCCGTCCTGCTGCTGAACAGATGATTTGTTTCAGTGCTCAGATGAGTCATTTACTTTAAGCCTACATATGAATATTATAATACTCAGTTTTGTGAGGCAAATTTATTTTATATGCCAATATCTATGAAAGAAAGAGCCAGGCCATGGAGTGCGATGTGTCATTTACGCACAGATGTTTCCAATTTTAATGCCATTTTTGGAGTTAATGTTGTGATCTGTGCACACAACCCACCTTTGTTACGTGAGGTTTGAATATATGCAACTTTATGTGAGTGTCTTTATTTGTGTAAAAGGGTGTTTGTCTTACCAGTGGGTCCAACATTACACACACCAAATCCATCTGTGCTCATATGAGAGAGTGTGGAGGACGCCCAATGCAGCGCTTGCAGTGACACTTGTTGAGGAGCTGCCCTCTGTCGCCATCTTGTGGCATTACTGTCTTCAGACATCTCTTGATCTCTTTGACTACTTCCCAAAAATGGTAATACGCCTCGCCTGTGGCGGATTTAAAGGTAAGGAGAGGAGCTGATGTGATTGGTGAAAACAGGTCTCGGCTGTGTTAAACCCACTACACGCCCTCTCTCCTCCCTCGCTACGACTTACGCCGCTAGGAGGAGCTGAGTTAGGGAGGGGGGATACTTACGCCGGGCTGCGCTGCTCACCAAAATACCAAATTGTGCTTGGGAACGCCTTGTCGGCGCGGGGGACCTGACTTACGCTGCGCCTGCGGCACGTCTCCGGCGAGGCACGAAAATAGAGCCCTTGGTCTTAGCTGAAAGGGCAGCTGGACTGGTTTGAGGTTCTTGAAGTCATTTTGCCTCTCTTCTGAAAGGCTTCTTCAGAAATTGCAGATACCTGCAGGCAGACTAACTTTCAGAATCTGGTCATGACCTAGAAGCATGATCGTTTTTCGTCTGTGCAGCTCTACAATCCAGTTTTCATCTCACTTTGGTTTCTGTCACTGTTTCTGTTTTCTTTAATTGACACACACTTTAGTTTGTTGACAGCTTTACTCTTCCTGTCAGATGCAAAATTATCTGAGGATGTTTTTTTTGGGGGGGTGAAGAGCAGTCTCAGATTATAATCTGAAATCCTGATTTCAAATGTTTTTATTTGTGCTGTGGAGGAGGAGAAATGATGCTGACTGTGTTTATTGTGTCTGAAACCTGTTTGTGTTATATCCCACAGAGCTGAACATTATTTAGTCTATTTGTCTGAGAGGGACATTGTTGTCTGCAGCTGTCATCCTGACTGGTTGGGGGTGTCATCAGGGTGGGGGTGACTGTCCTCTCTCAGTCATGCTTTGAAGGTTTTACGAGTTCTCATGGAAAGTATAAATTTCTGCAGCGGGGACCAAACGGTGCTTGACGGTAGTGTGGCGGTGACGGCTGCAGCAGTTAGCCTGACAGTTAACTGATTAGAATAATTCAAATGTGATGAATCAGTTTCATCATGTGAGCACGGCATCGTCCAGAGAAGGGGATGATGGGACTGTGTGTTAGGATGCTTTGATGGAACTGTGCAGTGAGGAGAGACTCTCAGCAGACGTTAAGAGGAGCTCACACACTCAAAGACAGAGGTGATGAAGAGGAGGAGCATCTCAGTCGGTCTGTCCCCACACACACTGAGGACTGTCCTGTGAGGAAGGCTGTCATGATGAGGTTGCTTAATAAGAGGATGAAGATGACTGATGGTGATGAAGCAGTGAAACACAGATGACTGAATGTCATTCGAGTCAATAATTCACAACCACAGCTGCCTATGTTACCACTGTCTTCACTGCTCCTCTCCCTGCCTCCACCCAGCTACCCCAGTTTAAGTATGTCTGATTGACGAGTATCTTTGCTGCTGCTCTCCCTGTCTCCACTTTAACTTCTCCCATTATTCTAAGAGTCAGAACCAAGCCGAAACACAGAGTTCAGATTTTATGCTCCAAATCTCAGGAACAAGCTACCAGAATTTTTCATTGGAGTGCTGAGACTCTCATTTCTCTTTAAACTCATATGTTTGAAGCTGCTTTCAATTAGATCACCTTAAAGATTATTTTAATATTGATTTTTATGTTTGACATACAAATTTGCATGGTATCTTTTTGGCCTCTTACTTAAAACTGTCATGTTTAGACATTCTGTTTTTGCAGTTTTTATTTCTTATTTCATTTTTACTTACTTTATTTTGATGGCTTGTTTTATTAATTTAAATGTTACCTTTGTATGATTTCTACATGTTTTCATTCAATATGTAAAAAGAGGAAAATGTCATGTAGCATTTTTGCCCAGAATACGTCTATAAATTAAGATAAAACAATGACTAGGCTGGAGTGCAGTCCAATATACTTCAGGATATAAAGTGCAATAGTGAGTAAGAAAGCCACAATTTGTTGTTCACCTCAGTGCAGTGTCAAAGACTTTGAGCAGGTGTGCTCATGTACAGTACGTTTCCATAATCCAGGACAGGTAAAAACGGTGGTCTACCAGTTTCTTCTTCTCATGGAAGGAACAGCAGGACTTGTTTGTGTTGTAAAACCCCAGTATGATGTGTGTTAGTGAAGACTTTTCATGCAGTCTAGAGCAGCAGTATCACAGAAGTGCTGACTGTTTGACAGAAGAGTTTGCATGAGTGTTTGCACAATCCCATACATGCAGTCTGACACATATTCACCAAAAGTGGACATGCATTAAAAAAATAACTCATAAGATTTACTTAAAAAAATATATTGTAAGTATTTGTACGCAAATGATTTAAGTAAAATTTCATACTGCAATATCAATTAACACTCACTTGCCAGTATCAAGTAAATTTAAATTTCCATAAAACATAACAGATGTGAATATATTAAGTAACATTTACTTAATTACATCCAAGTTTTAAGTTACATTTATTTAAACGAATTAAATAAGTCTATTTGTTTTTCATAGGCAGGAACCTTATTTTACCCAAAATTTTAAGTACATTTTATATCTCTGTAGTATTTGCTGTTATCAAGTAACTAAGAAGAGATTATTTTCTTGTGCTTGACATTTTAATTTACTTGGTTGATTAGATTTCATGTAGCGCTTTATCAGCGACCCTCAAAGCGCTTTACATTGGATACAACATTCATTTGCTCACACAGTCACACCCTGGTGGTGGTAAACTACCTTAGTAGTCACAGCTGCCCTGGGGCAGATTGACGGAAACATGGCTGCCAATTTGCACCTACAGCCTCTCAGACCACCACCAAAACATCACTCACAATCACACTGTTCCCAGTGTGTGAGGACACACACTGGAAGCAAGGTGGGTTAAGTGTTTTGCCCAAGGACACAATGGATAGACTAGGGATAGGAGGGGAAACAAACCGCCAACTTTCCAGTTATTGGATGACTGCTCAACCCCCTGATCTACTGCCACCTCCTACCTTGCCCTGTGATCCTGTAATGTCCTGACTCGGAGCAGAGCCAGTCCCGTTGTAGGCTACAGTGCGCATGCAATGTGCATGCATTTCAAAACACTACACTTTAAGAGTAAAGTTTATGTAGTATTTGTAGGTGGCTGCAAGCAAGACAGGCTCAGAGGCCTCCTGAAAATGCATCCAAAGCTGCTGAATCAAGGTGCCATCCTGCCTAAATTAAATCATTGGTGTGAGAATATTATTGACTTCTATTGATATTTTTGGACATTTTTGAAAACCAGTGTTTTGAGTGAAAGGATTTGGTCCTGGGAGCAACTGGTGGTTGACAACAGAGCAGGGCTGGGCCTACCCAGAGTAAACATCTTATTTTTGTGAAATATCAAAACGAGATGTCAACTAACACATAAAAGGTGGCAGAAGAAATAGCAGAGATTAAAGTCTCTCTCAACTTTACGTCTGAGAAAATCAACAGTTGTGAAGCAAAAAAAAACCCTCACAGGCCTGATGGAGGAGATAAACTCATATGTTTGAAGCTTAAAATTATCATCAAGCAAAGGGACCAGAGGATTGAGTTCCTGGAACAAAGGGTCAATGACTTGGAGCAGTATTCCCGAGCTGATGACCTTATAATCACTGGACTGGAGACTAAACACCAAAGCTATGCCAGGATTGCTAGCCCAGCCACAGACCAACAAGGTGAGGATGCACCATCTGAAGAGCTGCACATCCTGGAAAAATGAGTTTTGCAATTTCTGTGTAGTAAAAATATTCATCTGGGGAGTCAACAAATCTCAGCCTGCCACACTCTTCCACGAGAGGACAATAAAACCAGTCCCACAATTGTGATCAAGTTAGTAAATAGGAAGCATAAGGTGGAAGTGTTGAAACAAGCCAAAAAACTGAAAGGCACTGAAGTGTATGTGAATGAGCATCTGAAAAATGCCGAACTTGCGAGGAATGGCCGTATCCCCAGAAAACAAAGTAAGATACAAGCAAACTGGACAAGGAATGGAAAGATGTACATTCTGTTAAATGGACCCCCAGTGGTTGTGGTGAGACATTTGAAAGACATAGATCAATAGAAGTAATAATTAACTTTTTGTTTTCTTTTTTTTTTTCCTCTCTCTTCTGCTGATATTACATTTCAAGAAATTATGTGCTGTGGGGTAAGAATTTTATTCATCAAGAAAAATGACAGGATATTAATTATTTCTTTAATGACTGATACACTTAAGAGACTCTTGTAGTTTTACGCTGACTAACATCTCAATGGCACTTGTCATGCAGTTTGTGGTGGAGGCAGGCCCGGATTAAACCTTCTGTGGCACCTGAGGCTAAGCAAACCTAATGGCCCCCCTCTGTCCCGCACGCGGAAAAAATTGGCAGTTTTTATTGGTCATTTTGTGGAAATTACTGCAGTTATGGGTGGTTATTTAACTGTTCCACTAGCCACCACCTCTAGCCAAACCACTGGGTTAATACAACTGTGTCTGAACTCAATTCAACAAGAGGTAGTGAAAAAAGTCTTCAAGGAAAGCACAGAGGCTGGTGTACAGTTCACTTTTTTACTGTAGAAAACCTCAGGCATTTTAAATTATAAGTATATAGCAAGCATTATAAATAAAAGTGCAAGGCATGATATGAAGGCCTGTTATGGTTATACAATTTGTTTTGTTTAAAGGATTGCTACACTGAGATTTGAGAATTTTATTATTTTATATTTGTTCTACATTTGTCTGCATTTGTGTTTTGATCTTTCTTTTCATATTCTGTAGGGACTGATAAATGTCAGAGGTTTTGACACTGTGATACTTGAATAAATGTTTTATACCATATTTTGAATTAATTCAGACCTTTTGTGCATTTATTTTTGTCTTGCTACATTTTTCCATTATTCCAATTTTGGGGAGCGTGGTAGCAATTTGACTGACTTTCAGCCATTTATGGCCATGATGTGCTGTTTATATTTCATTGCTTTTATTACACAGTAGGTTGTGTCATTTTTATGTATGAAACATAAGCTTTTAGCTAAATTTACTGTATATATTTCATTGTGCTGGGTGCAAATCACTTGAGTTGAGACGTTTTCTTCAAGAAATTTGCTACATTTCATAATCTGAATTCACTTATGCGTATACTAAGGCACAAACAACTGTTTCAGATGTTAGGTAGATGTATTTATGACATCTGAGAAAGATTTTGTCTTGTCAGAATCAACATAGCAGTTTCTACAAGCAAAAACAGCAGCACCATATAATCGTTTTTTGTGTTACTCACATATATGTTCATTTCTGGCTGGTCTTTTGTCTCACCCTGTAGAGAAAGCCACTTTCTAATACTAGTTCTGTAAGTTTCCCAACGTGGCCTTGTAAAGTGGAGAACGTCTTCACTCTGGACAGATGATAGATGCATATAGCATCGTTTTCGTTCCTTTTTGATGCACTGTTGAAGGCTGTTTTCTTTTTTTCCTTTTAATTTCTTCCTCTTCGCTTGTCTCGCTGCTAGATGCGCTCGTCGCCATGTTTGTGTATTTCTGATACTATGGCAACGAGACTCGGCTCCTATTGGTCCACGTGACAAAAATCGCTTCACCTCTTTGCATATTCAATTGCGCGTGTGCAAGTATCACTGCGCCGCAGAAAGGAAATAGTTCGACACCGAAACACTGATTACTAAAAATCGACGGGATGGCATGAGTAGAATTTTTTTTTAGTACTCACTATCAATATAGCTGTTTTATGAATCACAGTTAATGTTGCCCAACTGAAGTGGAACGAGATTCACTTTCTAGGCACTTTTTCCTCTGTCCCAATACAGCCTAATCCTCCTCACACCGGGCGCAGCTCACCAGCGTCATAGCGGCTTCTGCTCGGGCTGAGTGGCCCCCCATAGCCAAACGCCCTGAGGCTTCAGCCTCACTATGCCTCATGGTTAATCTGGCTCTGGGTGGAGGTGGACGCGTCCCCACCCCTCGGCTCAAAAGCTGCATCCCTGTGTGTTCTTTTCACGCGGTCTCTCGCCTGCGGAGCAAAATTATGATGTTGGTAACCGGGAGTTGTTGGTGGTGCTGGCTTTACAGGAGTGGAGACACTGGCTGGCCCAGCCCTTTTTGGTTTGGACGGATCATAAAAACCTGTCCTACCTGCGCACTGAACTCTCGACAAGCCTGCTGGGCTCTGTTTTTGGGGCGCTTCAATTTCACCCTCACCTACCGTCCGGGCTCCCGCAATGTCAAACCTGACACCCTGTCCCTCATGTGTGGTTGGGGCGGTCCGCTGGCAGGTGGAGCAGGAGGTCCAGGATGCCCTCAAGGAACAACCTGTCCCAGACGGCTGCCCGGCAGGATGCCTATTTGTTCCTCCGTCAGCCAGATCTGCTGTGCTTCTGTGGGGGCATGCTTCACAACTCGCCTGCCATCCAGGGGTCCGTCGCACTCTCATGCTGGTGCAGCAACGGTTTTGGTGGCCCTCCATGGCGACTGACGTCCACTCCTTCATCACCACCTGCTCAATCTGTCCCACCAGGCCCCTGCAGAACTCCTGCATATCCTACCGATTCCTTCCCGTCCATGGTCACACATTGCAGTCGACTTCGTCACAGGACTTCCTATTTCAGAAGGTAACAACACGACACTTACCATAGTCGATCGTTTCTTCAAGGCGGTACACTTTGTTCCCCTCCCCAAACTCCCTTCCGCCTTGGAGACAGGTAACCTTCTCATTATGCATGTGTTCAGACTGCATGGGATCCCCCTGGACATTGTTTTGGACTGAGGGCCCCAGTTCACGTCACAGGTTTGGAAGGCTTTTTGCAGGGGTCTGGGGGCTACTGCCAGTCTCACCTCCGGTTATCCCCCACAGTCTAATGGCCAGACTGAGCAATCAGGATCTAGAGATGGCCCTTCGCTGCGCTGCCTCCCGCCTCCCTGTGTCCTGGTTCACTCATCTTCCTTGGGTGGAATATGCACACAACAGTCTCATCAGCTCAGCCACAAGGATGTCCCCCTTCATGGTTGACTTTGGCTTCCAGCCTCCACTGTTCCTGAACCAGGAATCCGATGCAGCAGTTCCCTCCATGCAGGCCCAGTTCAGGAGGATCCGACAAGTCTGGCGGGAGGCACAAGCAGTACTAGGGAGGATGGCCAAACGCAACCGCAGGCTGGCGGACTGCCACCACATCCCTGCTCGTACCTACAACATTGGACAGCAGGTCTGGCTCTCATCTAAGGACCTCCCCCTCCAGACAGACTCTAGGAAAATGGCACCTTGGTTCATTGGCCCTTACATCAGAAAAGATCATCAACCCGAGTGCCGTCAAACTCTGCCTTCCCTCCTCCCTCAGGGTGCACCCAGTGTTTCATGTGTCTCTCCTAAAGCTGGTCACCAACAGTCCTCTCCAGCCTCCAGCACCATCGCTTCCTCCTCCCTGCGTCATAGATGGCCACCCTGCTTACACAGTTAATCGGGTCCCTGATGTCCGCAGGCGGGGCTGAGGTTTTCAGCATTTGGTGGACTGGGAGGGGTATGGTCCTGAGGAAGGCTCCTGGATCTCGCGTTGGGGGGGGGGTGTACTGTCATGATCCAGGGCTGTTTCCTTGTGTTTTGGTTGTCTGTGTGATCAGGAACACACCTGCACCTCATTGTGCTCATCAGCTGGCCTTTAAAAGCCAGATTCCTGTCCTGCTCTTTGCCGGATGATTATCTCAGTCTTCCTCTTGAGCCAAATCACTCTGTGCCTCTCGTGTCCTCCTGCTTGTGCCTCCAGTTTGCCTTCACGTCTTTTGTAAGTTTGTTTGTCACTTTGTTTCAGTTGTTTTGTACTTTATAGTTCTCGTTTTTTTCCCTCAAATTTTTCTGAGGTGATTTTCAGTTTGTCTTTTGTTTTCTGTTCAACTTTCTAGTTGACTTTATATTCCTTTGTTACTTGCCCCATGTGGTATATTTAAGTTGTACTTTTAGTGTCAGAGCTTGTTTGAGTTTTTCTGTAATTTTTCCTGACACTTGTTTTTCTTCGTTTTCAGTAGTTGTTTATTCCTCCCAAGCCTTTTTACCCTGTGTGGTGATTTTATGTTGTTTTTTCTTGTTGATATTTTTGTTAATAAACTTTTGGTGATTTTGTCCCCGCTGTATTAGGTCCTGTTGATCTTGATAAGACCTTTTCATTAATACATTTCAACTGTAGAAGCTTACCAAAAAGTTTTAACAAAAATCAATGAACCTTTGGAAACATTTAACAATAAATTTAAGTTGATTGCTCTATCTGAGACATGAAAATGAGGACATTAATTTGCATATTAATGGTTATGATTTATATGTCACTAATAGAACTACTCGGAGTGGAGGGGGGGGGGGGGGGGTGGCTCTTTATATTGACAGTAACTTAAATTGTAGACCAGTGGAATGCTTAACAGCTGTAATTGACAATTTTATGGAATGTATCGCCGTGGAAATAGAATTAGAAAGGATAAACATAGTTCTAGCATGTGTTTACAGGAAACCAGGATCAAATATAGAAACCTTTATACATAGTTGGGATGAATTAATTAAAGATTTAAATCTCAATAAATCACTGATACACTGTGGTGATTTTAACATCAGTCTTTTAAAGGCATCTACACATAAACAAACTTCCGACTTTCTGGACACATTATACGTAGTGGGCTCTAACCACTGATCACAAAGCCCAGCAGAGTGACCTCCCTCAGTGCAACATTAATTGATAATATTTTGACAAATGTTCTTGAACGTAGCATTAATTGTGGCCTAAATGACATAAGTGACCAGCTACCTGTGTTTGCAACATTTAATTATGAACTACAGCGAAACAATACAGAGAAGTGCCGCAGATATAAAAGGTTAAGAACGGATGACCGGAAAAATGCCTGTAGAGATGATCTCTTAAAGCAAGAGTGGAGTGGGGTTTAGTAGATGCTGCATATGATTCCTTTTTAAACTGTTATTTAGCTCTTTATGAGAAACACTGTCCAATCGTTTTATGTAAGCATAAAACTTATTTTAATAAAAAACCTTGGATAACTAGCTTACAAAATGCATGTAAAAACAAAAATAAACTCTAAAGAGACTTCATAAAAGCCAGAACATAGACTCCTAAAAAAAATATAAGGTCTAAAAAAATTAATTAACCAATATATTGAGACAGGCAAAGAAGAAACATTACAATACAATTCTGCAAGAAAATAAAAACAACATTAAGGGTACATGGAATATTCTGAACAGTGTAATAAGTAATAAATTTAGAACTACAGATCTACCCAATCATTTTATTAAGGACAATAAGGTGATTAAAAACATGAATGAAGTGGCTAATGAATTTAATTCTTTTTTTTTTTTGTAAATGTTGGGCCTAGCTTGGCAAATGACATTACAAAAAAAACATGGTCAAACAGAAAGTGGCTGCAAAAGGGAAAATAAAGTGATGCAGTCAATTTTTCTTGGTGTGGTAAATTAAAGTCAAATTCTTTCAGTTGTTGCTAAAACAAAAAAATTAGACATCAACTGACAGTGATGGAATAGACATGGAAGTAGTAAAAAAGACCATTGACTGTATTTTAAAACCATTAAGTTATATTTATAATCTTTAATTAAAAACAGGCGTTTTTCCAGATAGGATGAAAACAATTTAATAATTATAGACCAGTGTCATTACTTCCCCAATTTTCAAAAGTGCTCAAAAAGTTGTTTGTTCAAAAGCTAGATCATTTCACTGAAAAAAAAAAAATTAAGTGAGAGTCAATATGGTTTTCAGACAAGTTGCTCTACTGCTCTGGCAATAATGGAAATAATAGAAGAAATCACAACAGCAATTGACAAAAGGACAAAAGGAAATATACGATAGGCATATTCATTGACCTAAGGCATTTGATACAATAGATCATTCCATTTTAATTGCTAAGTTGCATACTTATGGTGTGAGAGAAATTGTTCTGAATTGGTTAACTAGCTATTTACATAATAGAAAACAATACTGTATGTGTATTTTGCTGGTGATGCACCTGAATTTGTAAATTGAATGTGGGGTCCCACAAGGATTGGTTTTGGGGCCGAAACTTTTTATTTTGTATGTCAATGATATTTGTCAAGTTTCTAAGTTGTTACGGTTTGTTTTGTTGGCAGATGACACCAATTTCTTTTGTTCAGGAGATAATTTAAAAACCCTAACTGAAAGCATTGAAAGTGAAATGGTGAAACTTAACATTTGGTTTAATGTAAATAAGTTATCATTAAATTTGATAAAAACTAAGTTCATGGTTTTTGCTAAAAGAAATAAAGGCGAAATTTCATTGTCCATTGATGGACAACTCTGGTATCAGAGTTTAAGTTTTTTGGAATCACTATGGATGAACATATGACATGGAAATCCCATGTATCATATGTTTAAAAAAAAAAGCTGTCAAAAATATTTTAATTTTGAAGGATTTTTTAGATTGCAAAACCATGAGAAAGTTGTACTGTTCACTTATACTGCTTTCTCTGAGTTATTGTGCATAAGTATGGGGCAATACATACATGAGTAATATAATGCCTTTGTTCATATTGCAGAAAAGAGCAATCAGAATTATCCACGAAGTAAAATTTAGAGAACATACCAATAGCTTATTTATTAAGTCAGGGTTATTGAAGGTAACAGAAATAATAGAACTCCAGACATTAATTACTAATTACTATTACTAATTAAGTACTAATTATGTTCAAAGCTAAAAACAGAGTTTTACCAGAAAACCTACTAAAGCTATTTGTGTTCACTTCAGAAGATGAAAGTCATAGGAGAAGATTTGATTTTAAACACCAAAGTGCTCGGACTACTTTAAAACAAATGTGTATTTCGGTTGTTGGTGTAACAACATGGAATTCCTAACCTCAGGATTTGAAAGGCCATACAGATACTCCTCAATTTAAAAAAATGTACAAATGCAGAAAAAACTGTCAATACGGACTGGAAACTTAAACTGGATGGTAATGATCAATTGATTTGAGCTAAAATTATACTTGTATGGGATATTTACTAATTCAATTTTTTTCCGTTTTGATCAATTGTTTTGCTGTTATAATCAAAGTGTTATTGATGTTGGCTATTGAAAATCAACTGTATGTGATGTCAGACCATCTTGTCTTTTATTTTTAATTGGTCAAGTAAGGGGCAAGCAAATGAATAAACAAATAATAAATAGTAATAATAATAAATAAATAAAAATAATAGGTTCATGTACATACTATTACTCAACATTTAAATAGTATAAGGCAGTGGTTCTCAAGTCCAGTCCTTCGAGGCCCACTGTCCTGCATGTTTTGGATGTTTCCCTGCTCCAACACACCTGATTCAAATGATTGACTCGTTAAGTCATTACAAATCTTGATAATGAGCTGATAATTTGAATCAGGTGTGTTGGAGCAGGGAAACATCCAAAACATGCAAGACAGTGGGCCTCGAGGACTGGACTTGAGAACCACTGGTATAAGGAAACCTAAGTAAAACTTACTCTTCCCCCATACTTCATGTATTATGTTACAAAAAATGTTTAATTTTACATAATAAACTCTAGTTCTTACTGAATCTTAAACACACAAGATAGAAATTATGACAGTTACTCCAATAGCGTTTACTGCACCAAAAAATCTATTTTCAGTGTGCATTGTTAAAAAACAGACAGGAGGCCCTGTAACACAGACATCCATATTCACTAATGAGGACTAGGAGAAGAAAGCAAAGAATTGGATTTAGGTTTCAGGACTTTAACTCCAAAAATGGGTCCCTGTAAACTTCCTTAGCTTTTGCAAATTTGTCATCTGAAAACTGCAGTTTTAAATATAAGTCTGCATATAGTTTGACGCAAGTTATGTCAATGTTCACAAGTTAAACAACTTTTATCAACTGTCATCTCACAGTAGAACATGGTTTTGTTCTCTATAAAACTTTTGGTGGCGACATGGAAGTATTGTTAGTGAATTAACCCTGTGCATTGAGAATGAGGAGGAGAACTAATGAATGTCTGGGAGAGACACCCTAGAAAAGGTTTTTAAAACACACTGTTTTTTTACTGTTAAAAGCACCAGAGGTGAAAGCACAAGCATGCAAATACAAAGATACTTGACAGTTGACGGTTTTCTGTCTTTTCTTTTTTTTAACAAGAAGCTAGTTAGCAAGGCTAGTAGCATGACTGTGCCGTGCGGTGTGAAGCCCACAGCAACTTTGTGATGTGCGGACTGATACTTTCAATACCAAATATGTCCGTTTAAGTATCGATACTCATAATAAACTGAATATATTTTCACCAGTCTGCACCAGTTTGGGTTTACAATTTTTTGTCGTCACAGTAGACAGTTATTTCACTAGTTATAGGACCTATTTTCTGGTTTCTGGTTACCTGCTACTGCAACTGAGGCAACTTAAGTTGTTTACATACTGTAAATTTGCCCAGTCGTATGCACGCATGCAAATAAATATGTCATGTGTTGTTTTTTTTAGCGAGACAAAACAAAATGTTCTTTCACGTTTGTTCATGATACAGTTTATTAAGTCTGATGAAAATATTTTTATATTTATTAACAGGATTAAGGCTGCACGATATTGGAAAAAACTAACATTGCGATTTTTTTCAACCCTGCGATATATATTGCGATATTAAAAATATAGGAATTTTCACCAGATGACCTGAATAGCATTTAATGTTATGCTGCACCGCTGAAGTCTTGAGGACAGTTAACCTGCTCTGATCTTACCTCTTTTTGTGAATGTTAGTAGAATGGCTTCTGTCTGTCTATTTTTAGCTTTTGTTGTGCTGGGGCATTATTGTGGCAACAGATGAACACAGAACACGTGTTTTGGTCGACATCATCCTTCTTTTAACCGAAATAATTCCAGATAACTGACTTTCCTTTTCTTTTTGGCAACAAATCTTCATTTTCGGTGGTTTTCTCTTGTTTGTTGCTCATTTTGCAATCGTTGTTGTTGTTAGCGGTGTTGTGCCGAGAAACGCATGTCCTCCAAGAATTGCATGCACCTCGCAAAACGCGTACCGCTTATAGTAGAGTGGTCCATGGAAAATACATTTTAAAACCCATACAGTTCTTATTTGTTGGGCTTAACAGTCATGAGTAAAGTTCCGAAAGTAATTCTCAGCGGACACGGGTTTCTCGGCTCCACACCAGCAGCCAGCGAGTAACTCCATGTGCAGAACATGTGCAGGGGTGGGTTTCCTCCTCTCTGATTTTGATTGACAGCTGGCAGGGTAGTCTGATTGGCAACTGAAAACTGAGTCTGACTGGCAACTGAGTAAAGGACCAAGGTGAATGGTGGATCGCTGCACAGCACATGCAGAGTCACATGCAGTGTATCTCAGTCAGCTACCCTTGAAATTAACTGAGTTCATTCACCTCCGACATCGCAGGCTCTGTGATGTGACTATCACACACACATACATCGCAATGACGATGCTCAAACGATATATTGTGCAGGCCTAAACAGGATGCAAATCAGAATATTTCATTTCATTTATTTAGATCTCCATTAGCTTTTGCTAAGGCCATTGCTATTCTTCTACATTTACAATTAACTCTCCATCGCAGTGCACAGTAACCCAAAAACATCATGCCACAAATAACCACAACAACTCACAACAGTCTACAAGACAAAAGTGAACCTTTTTCCACAGTGTAGCTATAGTTCTGAAATAATAAGAACATTTAACAGAACATTAGTCCCATTATTCAGGCAAGTAGAAAGTAACGTATGTATAATGAAATATTGTTTAGTTATTATCCCTTATTCATCCATCATAGCGATAGTAATATTAAAATTGTGGATGGATATTTTAGACCAGCGGTTCTCAACCTTTGGCAAGCTGTTAGTCACAGCCTGTCTGGACCTGTACTGGACTCGGTACCAAGTCTAGAGATTCTCCTCCATTCGGCCAAAAGCTAAAGTGAGCTAAAACTTTTTTCACTGAATGCAAATGGATGAAAGGTGCTGATCACGAGAAATGGGATGAAAACAGGAATGATATCGGTGGATTATTCAACTGTTGGAGCTGAATGACTGATAATGGTGACTGTTTTAGCCACCAGAGTGAAGGTAAGAATTTTCTCCTAAAGGTTTGATCAGTTACAGTGGATATAAAAAGTCTACACACCCCTGTTCAACTGCCAGGTTTTAGTAATGTAAGAAAATGACAGCAAGATAAATATTTTCACAACGTTTTCCACCATTAATGTGACCTATAACTTGTACAACGCAATAAAAAACAAACTGAAACTTTTAAGGGGAAAAATAAAAAATAGAAAAGTTAAAATAACCTGGTTGCATAAAAATGCACACACTTAAACTAATACTTTGTTGCAGCACCTTTTACTTTTATTACAGCACTCAGTCTTTTTGGGTAGGAGTCTATCAGCGTGGCACATCTTGATGTGGCAATATTTGCCCACTCTTCTATGCAAAACCGCTCCAAATCTGACAGATTGCGAGGGCATCTCCTATACACAGCCCTCTTCAGATCACCCCACAAATGTTCGATAGGATTCAGGTCCGGGCTCTGGCTGGGCCATTCCAAAGTCTCAATCTTTTTTTGTGCGAATACTGACTGGTATTTGGAAATGTTCATTATTCCCTCCACCCTGACTAAGGCACCAGTTCCAGCTGAAGAAAAACAGCCCCAAAGCATGATGCTGCCACCACCATGCTTCACTGTGGGTATGGTGTTCTTTTGGTGATGAGCAGTGTTAATTTTGCACCAAATATACCTTTTGTAATGATGCCCAAAAAGTTTAACTTTGGTTTCATCAGACCATAACACATTTTCCCACATGCGTTTGGGAGATTTCAGATGTCTTTTTGCTAAATTAAGCCGGGCTTTGATGTTTTTCTTTGTATGACAAGGCTTCTGTCTTGCCACCCTACCCCATAGCCCAGACATATGAAGACAGTAGGAGATTGTTGTCACATGTTCTACACAGCCAGTACTTGCCAGAAATTCCTGCAGCTCCTTCAGTGTTGCTGTCGGCCTCTTGGTAGCCCTTCTGACCAGCTCTCTGTGGACCATGGCATGTGCTGAAAGATGTGGCTACAAAAATGTCAGAAAAAGCCTACTAGAACAACTGAACTTTATTTGGGGTTAATCAGCCACATCCCCAGTTATTAAAGGGTGTACTAAGACTATTCCAACTGCAAACAACACTCGCTGGAACAGCACTTTCAAACAAGTGCAGGCCCTTACAGCTCTGGACCATAAAGCTCTGACTGAAATGTGTAGCAAAGACTATGAAGAAGTGGTGTTCAGCATTCGAGAGTGGAACCAGCTTAAGAGACTGACTTCAATTCTGGCTCCATTCTTGGAGGCAACAGACCTGACAGAGGGAGAGAAATCAGTTACCATCAGCATGGTGGTTCCGACTGTTCTGGACTTACATACACATCTTGTGAAGATGGAGGAGACCTGAAAACAGTCAGCCAATAGTAAAGGCCCTTCTTCAATCTCTGATGAGAAGATTCAGTGGAATCTTTGCCAAAACAAAAATGACAAAAGACAGTGGGAAAGAAAAACCTTTCAGTACTTTTTGGCTACAATGCTTGACTCACAGTTTGGATTAAACTGGCTGGATCTTGGTGTTACAAATGGACAAAAAGCAACATCAATCAAGGAGTTCAGAGACGATCTGAAGAAAACACTGACAGGTATTCACACATGCATTTTATATGAAGAGAGAAATTGTCTTCCTGCAAATCTGTGAATCTTGAGAAAATGTCTTCAAAGGTGCACTATGTAGTTTTGGAACATGAAGTCTTACACTTGTAAATTTGATGTTTACAATATGATTAAGAGTATAAACTTAGAAATATTTATTTTTTCATGACTGAATAAACGAGTCATCGGAGGAAAATAGGATCTGCAAAATACTGTCTTTAAACCAGCGGCAGGGCCGGCCATATATTGACAGAAGGAAATGGTGTTATTCTTCCATTTGTTTATTCACCCATGAAAATGTAGACAGATTGTTTATTTTGATTATGCATGAAATTTAATTAGTGATTATTTTTGTCCTCCAATTAAAAAAAAAAAATGTCCAAAACTACATAGTGCTCATTTAAACTGTAGGCCTTTAAAAAAGTCTGAAATAGTCTTGTAGTGGAATTTATTGGGTTTTAATTTCGTATACATATATATATATATATGTGTGTGTGTGTGTGTGTGTGTGTGTGTGTGTGTGTGTGTGTGTGTGTGTGTGTGTATGTGTGTGTGTGTATGTTTTCATATTGTAAAACAATATTCTTGTTCTAAACAACATATTGTTAGAGCAGTTAATATTTGATACCCTCTGACACTATCACTGTGTCTTTTATTCTTATTCAGTAATTTTCTTTCATTTGCTTGTATTTTTCAGACACTTGGATCTCTGAGGTTGAAAACTTGATGGACAGCGAAGGTGAAGAGTGCAGAGCCACAAATGAAGATTCACCCGGTGATTCACCTCCTGTCAAATGCCCACGCCTTCTGTCTCGCTACAAGGCTCACAAAAAGCGCAGCTTAGGCCAGGATTTAAGCATCAGAATACAGATAAGCAAATACTTTGATTCCATACGGGACAGTGAAACTGACAATGCACTTGTCTCCTGGTACGAAAACCGTGACAGTTTCCCACAACTCCACAACTTGGCACTGAAGGTGCTGTCAGTTCCTGCATCCTCTGCACCAGTTGAGAGGCTTTTCAGTAGAGGAGGCGTCATAATGAGACCCCACTGTGCACGTTTAAGTCACAGAATGCTGCAGTCTCTCATGTTTCTGAAATGCAACGAAACTCTTCTTTAAGTCTTAATTTCCATGGAAAGAAATGGGACTGAGGTCTTTTGGAACAAGCCCTGTATGAGTTTAGTTTCATTTTTGAGCTCAGACCTTTAGGGGCGATTTGTGACCACATTTTGTTCAGGCTTGGCATGACATCATTTTCAGTTAAATTGTTCCTGATTAATTAATGTTGTAATTTCATGAAGGAAACAGTTGTTGTTAGGTCACTGGATGTTAGTGCTGTTAAAGAGAAAGACCTATGTTCAAGAATGTTGACAAAAATACCTTGCTGAAATGTCAGCTTTTTCACACAAGTAATTTAACTTAGGCCTTGTTCTTTAATTTGTGGTGAGACGCCTCCTCCTCTTGTTTTATTTTGGTTGGACTTCCTGTTTTTCTTTGTTTTCCTGGTCTGGCTTGACTCTGTTCCAGAGCACCCTCCCCCTCCCCGGTCACTGAGACTGAGTGAGACTCCACACCTGCACTGCACCTGCAATCAAGGCCCTTTAAGAAGCCAGCAGTCCTCAGTCTCTGCGCCTGAGTATTGCCTTCACTCCTGAGTGGTACAGTAACATCTCCTGGCCTTCTTTTCGGATAAGTGCTTGTGACTTTTTGCTCCCTGTGAATTTTTGTATGTCTTCTCACTTCCATCTCCTCTGTTTCTCCACACTGTCTCTAGCCCACACAACAGCAAGCCAGCAAACCAAACTTTCCTTCTGTCTTTTTCCCCTGAGTTTGGACATTAAAATTACATCTTTAATTTGTTATCTGCCTCTGTGTCTGCTTCTAGGTCCACAAAATACACCACCTGCACAGAATACTCAGGCCAGGAAAATGGACCCTGCAGGCCCAGACAGGTTCCAGCAAGCCATCCACAAGCTCGGGGCTTGCCTCGGTCAGCATGAGGATATGCTCCAGTGCCTCAATCAGTCCTTCCAAGGTCTCTCAGCCCAAGTAGCGCAACTGGTGGATCAACTCCTCTCTCGGCTTCCACCGCAGCAATCTGGGTCTCCCCCCTCTGTGAGTACGGTTCCCTCTCCACCTTCTCCACCCTCTCCTTACATCAAAGAGCCCTATGTCCCTCCTCCTGAGCCGTATGCTGGGGAGATTGGAGGCTGCAGAGGTTTCCTGCTCCGCTGTGTTTTTAGTGTTCGATCAACAGCCAATTAGTTATCCCTCGGATCGGTACTCATACGCCAGATTCACTGAGGAACTTCGCAAGGTGTTTGTTTATCCTGTCGAGGGTCCTGAATGTACTAAGCAGTTGTTTTCCCTCACCCAGGGCTCTCGGTCTGTGGCGGAATTCTCTATTGAGTTCCACACAGTGGCGGCCGAGAGTGGGTGGGGGGAACTAGAGTTAAAGGGTGTATTCTCTCGTGGTCTGTCCGAACAGCTAAAAGATGAATTAGCTACTTGTGACGAACCCTCCTCACTTGAGGAGCTAATCGCGTTAGCCATGCAGTTAGACAATCGCCTCAGGGAGAGACGAAGAGAAAAGAAATTTAATTCCCCTACCCGTAGCGTAGACTCGCCATCCTCTGTCGTGGTCAGCGGGTCTCCTCTGCAGCCCTCTGTTCATCTGGATCCGGTGCCCTCTGTAGGGGAACCCATGCAAATTGGCCACACCAAATTACACCCCAGGGAATGGCAACGACGGATAGATCAGAAGCTCTGTGTCTATTGTGGCCAGGCTGGCCACTTTCTGCCCAACTGTCCTAACAAGTTAAACAGCCAGGCTCATCAGTGACAGAGAGCATCCTGATGAGCCACAACTCCTCTGTCCCCAGTTCTCCCAGACGTATCTCCGTACCTGCTTGCCTCCTGTGGGGGAAAGAATCTACGTCTCTCCAAACCCTGATTGACTCCTGGGTGGACGACAACTTCATTCACGCCGGACTGGCAGCGCAGCGTCAGCTCCCCCTGGAGGGACTCCCGGTTCCCCGTAAGGTCACCGCTTTCGATGGCAGGGTTATGGCTACCATAACCCACTGCACTACTCCTCTCACCCTCATCCTTTCAGGAAACCATTGAGAGGACATCCGGTTGTTCCTGCTTCCCTCTCCACATTCACCCATAGTGCTTGGACTCCCGTGGCTCCAGATCCACAATCCCCAAATTAACTGGTCCACCGCTTCGATCTCCGCCTGGAGTCCTCACTGCCATTCTCACAACCTCCGCTCTGCCAATCCCTTCATCCACCGACAGAGGTCAGCACCGCCACCACCATCTCTCGCCTCGGTCCCCCCTGTTTACCATGATCTAGCCATGGTTTTTAATAAAGAACAATCTCTCGTCCGTCCTCCTCATCGCCCCTATGACTGCGCCATAGATTTGCTCCCTGGCGCCCCTCTCCCCAGCAGCAGACTGTACATCCAGGATTCTCTGACATCTGGACTCATCCGGCCCTCATCCTCTCCCCTTGCTGCTGTTTTTTTCTTTGTGAAAAAGAAAGATTCCTCTCTCCGTCCCTGCATTGACTTCCGCGAACTCAACAAAATCACCATAACAAACAAATATCCCCTGCCACTGATCGATCCCTCCTTTGAACCTCTCTGCAACGCCACTGTCTTCTCTAAACTGGATCTCTGTAATGCCTTTCACCTGGTTCGCATCAGAGAGGGCAACGAGTGGAAGTCAGCCTTCAATACACCCATGGGCCACTTTGAGTACCTTGTCATGCCCTTTGGCCTCACCAATGCCCCCGCTGTGTTACAGGCTCTCATCAATGACGTCCTCCGCGACATGATCAACAAATTCACCTTCGTTTATCTGTAGGACATTCTGATCTTCTCCCGCAACATGGAAGAACACCAACAACATGTTCGACTCGTCCTCCAGCGCCTCCTTGAGAACTGTCTCTACGTCAAACCTGAGAAGTGCGAGTTCCATGCCTCCTCCGTCAGCTTCCTAGGATACATCATCGCCCAGGGGTAGCTACGCCCAGACACGGAGAAAGTCTGCGCCGTCTGTGACTGGCCCACTTCCTCCTCCTGCAAAGACCTCCAGCGATTCTTCGGCTTCCCAAACTTTTTACAGGAGATTCATCCGGAACTACAGCAAGGTGGCTGTGCCTCTCACCCGTCTCACATCCCTCAAAGTCCCATTCTCCTGGACCCCTGAAGCAGACGCCACCTTCCGTCAACTCAAGTCCCTCTTCATCTACGCCCCGGTGCTCAAACACCCGGATTCCTCTCTCCAATTCGTGGTGGAGGTCTGCAATCTAGGCCCTTTAAGAAGCCAGCAGTCCTCAGTCTCAGCACCTGAGTATTGTCTTCACTCCTGAGTAGTACGGATGCATCTGCTGGCCTTCTTCTCGGATAAGTGCTTGTGACTTTTTGCTCCCTGTGAATTTTTGTATGTCTTCTCACTTCCATCTCCTCTGTTTCTCCACACTGTCTCCAGCCCACACAACAGCCAGCCAGCAAACCGGACTTTCCTCGTGTCTTTTTCCCCTGAGTTTGGACATTAAAATTACATCTTTAATTTGCTATCTGCCTCTGTGTCTTCTTCTGGGTCCACAAAATACACCACACAATTATTTTCACATTCTGAAATGAAATGTTTATCGTGACTTGTCAGGTCAATTCAGTTTTGGAATACAACAAGTTTGCTAAGATTTGGGATTTGTTTCATTGTACTGCTTTGAAAACAACAGTAGAGCAGAGATTGTTTTTGTTGTCATTTATTTAAAAGCAAACAAATTAAAAGGAAAACTCACATTTTGATGTTTTGTTATGATTTTCCTTAAATATATTTGGTCATGGTCTTGCCTCAGTCTCGACCTCCAAAAGTCTTGGTCTTGTCTCAGTCTCGGTCCTCTCTGGTCTCGGTAATGTCTTGGTCTCAGTTGGTGCGGTCTTGACTACAACATTAATACACAGACCCAACAGTCAGGGCAGATAGTTTCATTTTCGTGTCTTGTATGTAATTCATGTAGTTTATGTAATACTGTCTGTTTGTTCTTATGTCAGTCATGCCAATGTTAAATTTATTGCTGCCCCATAAAAGATAGGGCAATTCAATCCACAAAAGTAGTGGATTTACTTTGACGGTTCTTGTTTTGGTTGGTATTTTGGTAAACTGTTTGATTGCATTGTGATATGTAATATATATATACATATATATATATATATATATATTAGGGCTGTCAATCGATTAAAATATTTAATCGCGATTAATCGAATTGTGATCATAATTAATCATGATTAATCGCAAATTGATCGCATATTTTTGATCCATTCTAAATCGATCTTTTTTAAATTGTTATACTTTTATCAACATGAGAACAGATCGTGGATTTTCGTGGTAATGGTGGTCCTTCAAGGTAATTCATATGTCCAGTCATTGGATGCGATCCATATGATTTCACGCAGACCAACGTCCTGCACAATGCTAATCGGCCAATAAGCGGTAGCCACCCATTTAGCGATTTCTGTTTCAAGTTTGCGTTTAGTAGAGCTCTCCATCTGTTTACCTTGCACATTCAGCATTGTTTGTTTGAGGCGGGGCTCTCTGCATCAGCTGTGTGCTTGGCGGACAAGTGATATTTGAGACGAGACGTACTCCGGTGGTAACTAAATTCAGCTCGACAGGAAACACAAATGACTTTTGTCCTGTCAAGAGAGCCATCTGGCAAGGCTTTGTAGCTGAACTTTCTGTTCAAAATCGTGTTCTTATCTATTATATCCTAGTTACTGCTCACGGGGATTTGTTTATGTCTGCTGCGGTATCAGTCAGTGCTCTACTTCCTGATTCGCGAAACTACGGAGTGCCCCGAGGCTCACATAGCCTGGACACCTCACCAACTGTTCCTCTACCCTTTTACAACGGCAAGAATATCCACGCAGTGTGTGTATAGTTTGGTCAAGCCAGGCTAAGGCTTGCGTTGATCGTGCATCAAAAAAATTAATGGCGATAAAAGTCACTTGAGTTAATGCGACAATAACGCGTTAACTTTGACAGCCTTAATATACATATATATATATATATATATATATATATATATATATATATATGTATATATG